CGATCTGGCCACGGCGCAAGCGCAACGCCGATGTACGCTGGAAGCAAGCACCGGTTGGCTTTCGTTGTTTTTGTTTGACCGGAGAAAATCTGGCAAGTAAGCATGGCGCCGCTACTGTTTTGGTTTGACGGGACGCGAGAAGCTTCGCATAGAGCTTCGGAGTTTGCGAGCACATAGTGAAAACGTGACCGGAGAAGTGCCCCTGTGATGTTCCTGGAAGACGGAAAGTAGCATTCGTAATCGTCGTGTGTGCTTTGAAAGCGAAGGGAGTCACAGGGTCCACGAGTTCGCAACCACAAGCCAAGGTTCACGACAGCGCGGCGTTGACTTCGGCGATCTCGTTCTGTTTGGTGCAACCCGGCGATGCGAAAAAGAGCTGAAACATTCGTCGTGTGTGGTGCGGTGCTTTGTATTCCGGGTCTGTTTGAACCACGCTTTTAACACGGAGCGCAAATTGTTTGTTGCGTGGTGGAGGTTCAACGGGTACAGTCCCGTCGTCGTCAGCTGATCCGGTCCAGCTGGTCCGGGAGGACGCAGCGAGCGTTTTTAAAAGTAAATCTTCCTTCGTTCCGTTTCAAACTGTGGAAGTATCCCGACACATACCGTGAGTAAGAAGCAGCGGGCGTTTTCAACAAAATTCCGTTGTTTTAATTGAATAATGGACTCCGGATTGTTGTCTTAAATCCGCCGTTTTTTATGCTTCGTGTTGGACTGCGTTTGCATAGCGACGCACACTGCTCGAGTAGATGATTCGGTCCTGTAACGAGTTTGTTGCGCCAATCATGCAGCGTGAATAAATTAGGGCAAGGTTTCCTACCTGCCCACAGATGCATGTACTGAGACCATTTTTTATGTTGTGAATGTAGTGCTCTTTCTTTATTTTGGAAGACGCGTTGGTGCATTTATTATGGTACAATCACTTGAGAGTTGAGAAATTGGAGAGCGAGCAAGCTTTCTCAACTTTGTCTCTTTCTCTCTGGCACTGCCCTGTTTCAGTTTCAGTAGGCATATCTACTAGCAGGTACAAACTGCTCTAAAGCAGGTAAAAAACGGGAAGCTTAGGACGGTGCGGACTCCGTATTTCGCGCTTTTCGCAAGGTGACAGGGTAAATGCTTTTGTGAGATATGCGGAATGTGCAAGCGATTTTGTTATGCCCGTCGTTTGCGTCTCTCCAGCAAAACGAATAAGATGATCTCCTACAAAGGCGCAATCACAAGCCAAGATTTAAGATAGCAGTCGTTTGCTTCGGTGATCCGTGTAGCTGTATTTTACCCTGCTCTCTGCAACACCGTGTCATGACGAAGAGCTGGAATGGTCACGGTTTGTGCTGGCCTCCCGGTTGACAGAAACCCGCGTCGCCCGCATCGGCACCGAGTGCGCTTGGGTTGTTGATGCTCAAGCCTTTCATCCGCGGCTTGTCGCCAGCTCATCCTGCTGCTCAACGGTGAGGAAGCGGCGAAAGTAACCTCGGAAGTGAATGTAAATCCTCGTTCATTCAGTTATCCGGTGTCCAAGTGTAGAAGATGTCCAACGTGTACTGAGGGCGGGAACTACGAGCGTTTTGCCTTGCTTTTATAACCGAAACCAGACCAACGAGATAACTGCCTTGCGTACTCTAAAATGACGGAAGCAATAAGTTTCAACAGGTCGAGTACGTCACCGGGGATGTAGGCGAGACGGTGCACACTGTTTAAACGCTTGCAGTATCCACGAGTGGTACCAGGCAAGCGACGTCAACAGAGAAGGAGCTCGCGATTCAGCATAATGCACTGCTACGGGCCCGTGTATCTTCAAAGTTCGGGGTGGTGGCAGTATAAAAAAAAGACGCATCAGCGCCCCACACCAGTGTTCACGAATAACACCGGTCACAAACTCCCAAGCCCCACCGCTCTTCTCGACACGGACACGACATACGACAACAAACTGCATCAAAACTCCCCAAAAGTGAAGGCGTCTGCTCCCGTACTGCAACTGCTGCAACTAGCGGAAGTGAAGTGTTGGGCGGATGTCCGGATGTCCTTCACAAAAATATATAAAAAATGCTTTGCGCAAGGATCATTTTCATTTATTTTTGTATACGTAATGACAAAATCCCAATAATTTGTTTTCCTATCTGATTCAAGCTAGTCGGACTGCTCATAACACTGGTCAAGCAAGAAAATAACAAAAATTTTAACTTTTTCATGACCGGTTTAAGATTTATTGTTAACATATCGTTATTTATTGCAACGGACTAACATTATAGATTTTGCCTCCATACTTTTTAAATGCAAACAGTTCTAACACACGGCTGTCCATTGCGCCGTGTTTTGTGTATTCTTCTATAAATCTGTAATGGTCAGCGACCAAAGAGCTCACCCGCACATGTCAAGCTTATATGCGCCGCGGGGAGAAATGGATATCGAGTAGGAAGTGTCGGGCGTAGTGTCGGTTGTTGTGTTTGTGTACATGTCGGTGCTGTGTAGCTGTGTGCTGTGTTGCCTGCGTTGTATGTAGGGTTACTGTGTAGTCGTGGTCGTTCGCAGTGTTAACAGACTAGTCTTTTTTTAAAAAAAAAAACAGGCTGCTAGAAATCTCGATAGGTGGCGCAAGTTACCGCCCGATTCTAAATAGTTTGCTCAAGTTATTTATCTATGTAAGTTCGGCATTCGCTTTTTTTTTTTTGTCTAGCGGCTCGTTGAAGCTATTGACGCCGCCGACCGCTGACAACGCACGTACGTACTTTGCAAGTAGCTACGTCCGTCGCTTGGAGACTTTACTGTGTATAAAAGACATCGAACGAGAACTAACGCGCCCTGTGTGCTTTCAATTCGGCTGAAAGGCGCGCGGCTCGCTGGGCTCGTCTCTCGCCTGTTCTCGGCCGCTAGCCGCCATGTTTCATAAGGAACACGCTCGAAACGGTTTTGCGGAAGGCAGACACGGTGTACCGTGTTAAGTTTACACAGCACCTCATGTGTAGACGAAAAACACAGATGGCCTCGTGTAAAACGAACACGTTTCGACGTGTCCGCTATGGGACAACGGTTTACACGTCTGGGCGTGTTATTTTTGCTAACAGTGTGTCGTGGCCTTACACATGGCCCGGACTAGACATTGTAGATTGGCTCCTCTTAGGGGAGCCAGAGTAGCTCGTTTGTTTTCTACTGGAACCGGGCCACTCGTCACAATTCAACTCGTCACCGGAAAACTTGTTGCAACTGGTCACAGCGGCCATCTCGATCGAGGTCATCTTGTCATAGGCACACTCGACACACATGGCCGCTTGTCACCGGAACACTGTTGGCACTCTTCCTTGTTATGGAAGGAGCAGGATCCAACCTTGCTTTACACAAAATAATCGCAACGCTCGGAAGTAGTGCTAGCATGTTAGCACTAACAAATGGAATTTGAATCAGACCTAGAAATACGCTCAGGACACTCGTATTTGGCAAGACTACATTCATTAGAGTGTAGCACTAATTAACACTCAACATATGGGACTTTGATGCTATCATACAAAAATTGTTTGTGCCATTGTACCAAGACATTTTGTTCACAGCTAGCAAAAATGCAGTTCTGGAAGTCATTATGTGGGGTAAAAACTACTGCAAAGCAATAAATAATGTTTCATGAGTTTGTTAGTACTGTCCAAAATGCTTCTTTCAGCACCAAACAGAGCACTCTATTAAGGTATATCGAAGCATAAAAAAAGAAACAATAAGATATACTTTTTTTTTAGGGCTAGAGAGTGAAAGCGTGATCTTCGTTTACTTGTCATGTTTCCGCTTGTCTCCTCATCTATTTTTTGTCCGTCTTTTTTTTCAATTAAGAAGAATTGAGGGGCCTTCTGCATCAAATTCTACTTGATGCCAGATGTTTCTTCATATTTAAAATCGTTTCTGCAATCAGTAAACTTCGGACTGTTGCAAAAAAAGTACAGTTAATTATCGGACATATTTGCATAACCTGCACCATATCATTGATCGAGAGCTTGGTATTGTTACTCCAGCTTGGACGAAAAGGAACAATATTCTCTACTGGGCCCTAGGGCAGAACCGTCTGGAGCTGGACGGAACTCTACTGGGCCAGCTATCGTTAACGATGGAGTAACAACGGACATCAGAACTTCAGTTTGGGCGAGTTGGTTATTCATGATACTGCTTCACAGCGCACAAGATCAGACACACTGAAAAGAAATCTCACGCATACACAGGAAGAACACTCACGCCGCGCTGACTGACAACTCAAGTGAATTATGCATCATCTTCATCTTCCTTCACTCCGATGCAAATGGCAGTGAAACAAAAAAACCGATGATCATATGAAAAAGAGAAAGGAAAAAAACAGAAAAAGGAATAAAAACAAAATATAGAAGGAAGAAAAAAATATAGAAGGAAGAAAAAATAATGGATTCTCTGTACAGCGGTCGTTGCTACTGTGCTTGTGCTATATAGTTCAACTCTTTTTCCGTTAAGGCTAGCGATGGAGTACTAACACAAATTCCATCTAGCCTTACAATGTTAGCGGTTTCTACTATTTCTCGCGTCAGTTTGTTCCTACTCCGTCCCAGTATGGTGCATTTGTCCAGGAGGGGAGAACATCCACACTTTCTGCAGTGGATGCCTAAATGATCCGAGTTGGCATTTTTGGCGTTTATGTGATGCTCACGAAGTCGGTCATTTAGACAGCGACCCGTCTGTCCGATGTAACACTTTTGTAATAAGAGAAGGTGCCACGCGCTGGCGGCCTCTAGGGCAGCGCTCGGTCAGACGTTTTGCCAACACTCGAATAGGACGGTTGTCTTTCTTTTCGCCACCGGGGAAACCAGACAGGGTTCACTCGGCAAGACGGCTCCTCCGGCTCGGCCGTGGAACACCGGCACCTCCGTCCGATGAGTCTTTCGTAGTTTTAGCGCCCCGTAGGCGGAATAGTGCAATGCGCTTTATCTCCAAAGAGCCATCGATCCCTTTGACCGACGCGGTACTTCGCCGATCTTCTCTTTATCGAGATCGGCACTTACCGCTGGCTTGCACAGAGTCAAACCCAGTCCCTTCGTGTCGGCGCCTTCTTTTGCTCCTTGAAGTGCTTGAAATTTACCACAGAAGAAAGATCCCAACAAACGAAGCTGTCCAAAGACAGCGACAGAAAAAAAGCGCCCGAAATTGCAACAATGATTCGGCAGTGAATACAGTTACAAATATTTCCCTATTTTGGCATTTTATTTTGTTAACTAATTTGTAAACTTTATTTTCAATAGTATTATTTATTGTATTATCAGGTTTTTTTTTCAGTCTTAATTCGATTTCTTTCAAAACGGCGTTTAACGTAATGCTTACGCCAGGAGGGTTTTAATTCAGGAACGAAACCGAAACTAACTTATATTTTGTTTTTTTTTCTCAGCTAAAGAAATGGTTCGCGGAGACTATTTTTTGACATACGTGTCCGATCCAGAGACTTCCAAATGTTCTCTTAAAGACGGGGTCTTTCATACACCGTACAGACGAGTTCCTGAAGATTGGACAAGCTCCATCGCATCTGCAGTTTCTGTTGTTTCGTGATGAGGCGACATTTCACCTGGATGGGCAGGTGAACACACATCCGCACTGGACGCTCGACGAAGCTTTGCAGTCCCCGAAGGTAACAGTCTGGTGCGGAATCTGGCGAGAGGGCGTCGTTGGCCCCTTTTTCTTCAGTGACAACGTAACATGGAAGCGCCTACCTGATGCAGGAAGAGTTCCTTTCCGAGTTGGAAGCAACACATGCAGCGGAACGTATGCATCTTTATGCAGGATAATCCGTTACCCAACTGGTCGACGAGTGTAAGGCACTGGCTGGACAGCACCCTTCCAGGACGCTGGATGGGTCGAGAATCGCCGAACGTGCCGTGGGCGCGCCCCGATCACCAGACCGAAGTGTACTTTTCGTTTAGGGGTTTGTGTCCCAGGTGTACAAGGGCCGCATCCCCAGACTCGACGAAGCAGCGCATCGAGGCAGCGTTCGCTCTCATCATGGACGAGATGCGAGCTGGTGCATTCGGAATGAAGTACGTGACCAGGACTTGGCCTCTGCATTTGGCGCCTAGGAGGCCACGTCGAAGCCCTGGTTCCAACCTAATTAGAGCCGTATTGCCCTCCCTAGAACAGACCTGACAACAGCCTACGGAACAACTCACACCTTCCCGTCAAGTGTACGGTTTATTTCTTTTAATACCCTGACAAAGGTCCCTTTTAGGGCTATATGCTATCGTCGCGGGGCCTGGCCACTCTTGACCACGCTCTTGACGCGCCTGCTCTCCCGAGACTCTGAATGCCCATGCAAATTAGATTTTTTTTTTTGTATGTGCCCTCTTCTTTCCTCAGATATCGCTCGCTTTATTACCTTCATATTATACAGTCCGGTGTCGCGCACACAATCAGTAAAAGGCTCACGTCACAACAACAAAAATCCAGATCCAGCTGGTAAAGCAATGAAACATCTTCATGCACAATAAACAAATGCATTATACAAGTAAAAAGCTTAGCGATCTTAACCTGAGCTTAAAAAACAGTCCTATAACAATCTGGATTTGTGCCCAAACAGAGCGGAGCACGTGAGAAACGGTGCTGTGCCGCAAACCGCCAGACCGAAACCGAAACTAGGCATCTGTACATTTCATCGGCTGCTTCTCATGGACGGTCTCCTCTCCTAGGCACGAACAGTTTTTTACCTCTAGCTTTTTATTCCGGTAATGGTAAGTGTTGACATTTTGGCATCTTGCTCGAACGGCTGGGGCTATTTTTTGACAGAGTTGGAGCTCCCCGCAATGTCTAGTTTATTTTTGCGGAACGAAAAGCCGGTCGTAGCTCGAGCGACAGCTGGCCGATGTAGCGATTCTGCTCTGATCGTTTCCGAAGGACCCAGGTCAACATAACAGCCTTCTTCAATGGCAACGACGACGAATGCACAGCTGTGACACAACGAAAATGGAAAAGCAGCGAAACGCAATCGCGATCCTCTGGCGGGTGTGCGCTGAATCGACGGCGGCTACCGAAAAGCGCCCGCAGTGTGAAGTTGAACGTCGGTGGTCGCTTGTCGTGTCAGTCGCTCTCGCCACGCTCTCGCGACTGTCGCTAGTCGCCAGAGTGGCAGTCAGAGAATTGCAGAAGGGAGAGCAAAGGAAGAGTTTCGCGGGCATTGGCCTTGTATGTGTATGTCACCCTTAGGAAATTTTTCACCCATTTGTTTATTTACTCTTAAAGGGACACTGACACCCCCCCAAAAAAAAATTTTATTTTTTGCCAGGCGCTTCATTATGGTGTCGGAGGACTACCCAATTAATATTTTGCAACAGAGTAGCGTATTTTTTTAATAAAGCCAAAAGACGCAACTCCTCGAAACCGAAACCGAAACCCGACGGAGGTCGGAGAAGTGGAGAGAAGAGAGTGAGTGGCGGAAGTCACGTGGCTACACCCTACCGTGCGTTTTTTTTTTTTTTTTTCTCCTCTCCCGTAGCAGACGACAGGACATGCGGCGTGCGATCGGGCGTGCGGGAACTGCTCGCCGTGCGATATTTTGGCAGTTATGTTTGTTCCGCTCGTTGTTCTGTACTCCAAGATGAGTTGTTTTGTACATTGAGGAGTTGGACATGAGTAGTGAGTGCCCGTGGTGAATTTCCATGATCGGCTCCGAAAAGAATACACCCAAGATGTTGCGTGAAGAGCTGGCTCACATTTCCTGAATCCGAAAAAAAGTGGCATTGTGCGACAGAGTTTCCGAAAGATCAACGGGATCGGGACCAACGGCTGGCTGCAATTCCTGTAGAACATATACGGGCACCTCGGAAAGCGGACGTTACCTGATTTATATGCTCCTTGCATTTTGTGGAAAGTGATTACATTGAGCTCGCAGGTGTCAAAACGGAAATCCCATACGATTTAAATCAGCGAAGTATCGTGCACAACATTAGTTCGTTATTTTTTTGTTTGTTTCTTCAGTGATGATGGTAAAAAAATATATACATATGTAAACATCGAAAAATGTTTGAAGAAAAAAAATTAAGTTCCACGGGGGATCGAACTCGGTCCACCGCGTGTAAACCGGACGTCTTTCCCACTGAGCTACTGGCGCATCGCTCTTTTGCAGGATTTCTTTCCTTGGTAACAATTCAGCCGGTAAACTGTAAGTTGGAAAGTTTGCTGTCGATTTTTCTCTAGCAAAAGCACTCCTGGGTCGAAGTCGGGAAGCACCACGCTTTGGGGACATTCGCACCTAGTAAAGAAATCGTCCGCGTGCATATTGAACTCGAAGTAGACACGTCGTGCTTGACGTTTGCGCGAGCGATGTCTTCAGCCACGAGAAGGGATCGACGGCTCGGCGACGTCTTCGTGCAAATCGGCTTGGTGGCCGGGCGTGTCGTACGGGATGAATACCAATTCTTTTGATCAGTCCCAAATTTCTCTTTTAACGGTAGACAGAATTCGCCGGTACCGCGAACGACAGTTCTGAAATAGAGGTCCCACGCCTGTCGTCCGCTGCCATCGCCGTCCCCGCGAGTCCCACGATACGCGAAACGACGAACGCACAGAATGCTTCCGGTTGTCTGTGGAACTTTTTTTTTTCAATCAACGTATTTACAGCTTTTTAGAAGCCACAAAAAATGGGTTTCATATTTTTTTATATTTCTAATATTGAGTGTGTGCCTTCAGTGACCCACGACTTCGATTAAATTTGGTGGTCGCATCGATACCTTAGAAAACGGCCCGTGACCGCGAAAAAGAGAGTGAGCGAGACTCGAACCGGCCAGTTCTTGATCGGCGGTTTTCGGGCGGAAAGAAACCGAATTTCGAGCCGCAAATTCTGTTCTGGGTAGTTGAGCTCTCATATGTCACGTACAACTAAAAACCTCAGCGAGCATAAATACCCTGTCAGTGTCCCTTTAAAGACAAGAGGGCGCAAGTCGCCGCCCGATTCAAAGGCTTCAGCTCCAGCTGTGTTCATTGATCCATGACTCGTTTAAATGTTTTTATTATAGTCGGTTACAAGTCAAGAAGGTAGGAGAAGCTCCTCCCACAAGTGTGATGCGCCCGTTTCAAATCTCTCCGCAGTCGAAAGAAGAGTTCACTGGAAACACTCCTTGTTCCGCTTCAATGGATTCCAACTTGACTCCGATCCCACTTTTTAAGCGACCTTTGTATTCATCGGAGAGGGAACCGAGCCCCTGAAAGCAGCCTTTGTATCCATCGGGGGGGAAGCTAATCCCCGAAGGTCGTATTTGTTTCCGTCGGTGGGGGGAACTCTAATCTCCCTCTCGTGGCTTCCACAATGCTAAGTCAAAGTCGAAAGATAAAGCCAATATATACAGAAAGGCAAGACCCTCCTCGCGCGTTGTACGCGACGTCACGGAAACGGTGGGACGCTATTGGATGCAAAGGTGGCGGAGGGATATCCGATTCCCTTTGAGGGGCATTTGCCGCTACTTTCTTAACCTGTAACTGACTATACACCAACTCATGTTTACAAACAAACCGGGGCGCCCGGAGCGCCCCTAGCGGACGCCACCGGCGCCGCGCATGCGCGATGGGGGTGTGGGCAAAAAGCTCGCCGTCGCCCATAAACAAACCATCGAAATGCGATGTTGTCGGCGCTGGTGTGAGTCCCCGCGCTCTTTTTCGCGTTGGAATTGTTGATTCTACGTCCTCCTAACGATGTCTGACTACTTGAGCAGCGTCAGTGAAATTAACGAGGCTCGTTACACCGCAAAACTTCGCGTGATTAATCTGATATGCGGCGATTCATTCCGCGTGGACGCCGCAGAACGTACGCTAAAGCCTGATTCACATGATGAGATTTCGCTCGCAATTTTCAGTAGCGACGTCGCTCGGACTGCAAAAGCGTGAACCGTAGCTGAGATGGTCGACGTCGATACTGAAAATCGCAAGCAGAATCTAACCAAGTGAATCAGGCATAACAAGTCGGTGATGGCCAGTGGTAACAACGATCAACATCTTCTTGTATCTACTGTTTACGTCGAGCCTGCTTACCAACCTTCAAACTTAAGTCTTTTGAGGCCTGCACTTAATTCTTATCGCAAGTACCGGGCCCACGTTTGGTCTACGGGCCGGTGTC